ATACAAAATGACAAAGAGAAGGAGCAAAATGCATTCTCAGGCCCCGAGCTCACCCAGAACAAATGCAGGAGACAATAGCATAGAAGAAATTGGAAATCACACACCTGAAATCTCTGAAAGAACAGTAGCTAAAGTATTTGTATTAATGTTTATGTTTGGATTTTGGTTATGTAGCTTTTACTTTTTTTAATGTGAAAATATGTGCTCTTGTATTTATCATGCTTTTGTTGTCAACACTGCTGTGGTCTGAAATTTCACACTTCTTGTTATTTGTTAAACCCTAAAATCCTATGAGTAGGTTTCAGACCATGTTCTTGATCCTTCACTTTGTTTTTTAATTCCGTGAGACTTTTTGATGTGTGTATATGTGTCATTCATGACAATCTTTCCTGCTCTCTATGTCATCAATTTTATGAAAGTTATGAACATAATACATTTTTAATGTTATTTTATTGTATTTTTGTTGTATTTTAGGGAAGGGTCTACAGGGTGTTAAGGGTCTCACTACTAGATCAGACTTGTAGTGATCTGCCTGTTTACAGCCTCCCAAGAGCTGGGATTACAGGTGTGCGCCACCACACCCAGTCTCAATTGCCATCTCAGTGTGCCCTGGGGGTGGGGCCAGCATGGCAGGCCCAGGGATTGAACCCTTGGCCACTGTGCCTGCTTGCCGGTGCTTTAGCATTTTTTATTTTATATAAAAAAATTAAAAACGAAGTCAGTTCAAAGGAACCCTGAATTGCAATGTGAGACACTGTCTCCAAAAGACAAAAAAAGAAGAAAAGATTACCATGGAGAATATATAAAGAACTAAAATCAGGCTTCCCAAATTTAGCGATCCAATCAAAAGTGGGCATATGAAATGAACCCACACTTCTCAGATGGAGCAATATAAACAGCAAAGAAATACATGAAGAAGTGTCCCATATCACTGGTCATCCAAGAGATGCAAGTTAAAACAACACTGAGATTCCATCTCACCCCAGAAAGCATGGCTAACATCAAGATGTCAGCCAATAACAAACGCTGAAGGGGCTGTAGGGAACAGGGAATCCTTCACTGTTGCTTGGAGTGTAGACTGGTGCAATCAGTGTGGAAATCAGTGTGGAGATTCCTCAATAAACTAGGATTAGAGGTCCAATTCAACCCAACTATTCCTCTTCTGAATATCTTTTCAGAAGAATTAAAAGCATTATACCACAGTGATATATGCAACCATGTTTATAGCAGCACAATTTGTAATTGGAAAACCTTGGAAACAAGCCAAATGCCCATCAATCAAGGAATGGATTATCTTTAAAATTTTTTAATACAATAGAGTATTACTCAGCCATAAAAAGGATAAACTGGTAACTTATAGGTAAGTTGATGCACCTTGAATCTATACTCATAAGTGAAATAAATCTAACTCATATGTAAGCATCAGATTGTCCCCCTAGTAGGAGAAGCTGAAAGAGTAAATAAGATATTATAATTGCATGTTAACTTTGGAAATAATATCATGTTAGCCTTCCAAAGTTTTTCTTCATTTTCAAAATTGCTCTAATGATTTCAAGTCATTTAGATTTTCCTGTGAGTGTTAGAAAAGATTTCTAATTTTAAAAAACCTGGAATTTTCATTAGAATTAGATTATTACATCAGTTTTTGGAAAATTGTGATCTTCAAGTGTTTCCCCTTGAAATGTTTCTTGAAATCTTCAATTTCTCTGTAATATCTTTTTTAATTTTCAGTATATAGATCTTCTAAATTTTGTGGTGAGATTTATTACTATTTCATATTTTAATAGTCCTGGAAAAGCTGTGTTTTGTTTTTGTTTGTCACCATTAAGTGGAAGTACAGTTACGTTTCAATAAACATTTATTAATAAATTTTTTAAAATAATGATATAGAGCTGATTTTTTAATGCATTTTGTACAGGGTCTCACTATACTACTCAGACTCACAGTGATCCTCCTGTTCTCAGCCTCCTCACTGTTATAACCTGTGCAATTGATTCCAATTTTGTAACTCTGTATGCTTCCACTGTAACTTTATTAACTGTTATAACCTGACATATGTGCCGCCATCTTGTTCTGTATGCGCCATTCTAAATGCTGTAACTTTCCACTGTGCCCTGTTCTCTACTTGAGAACCTGCAGTCGGACCTTTCTCACGCTGTCCTTTGTGCACACCTGAATCTAGTTCTGGCCCAGTGCCCTGATCTTGCCCTCGTTCCCAGCTACAAACTGTACCCACCACTGCACTTGTTATTGTTCATTAGAAACAGGTAATTTTTCAACTGTAGCCCCAAGATAAAGCCTTGATGTCAGCTTTTGTGGTTTATTGGCTTAAATACCCACTCCATTTTGTAACCAGAATGGGCATTGTATTATACACTTCTGTACATTTCCACTGTAACTTTATTAATGAGGATTGTTTGGTATAAGCTGACAACTTAAACTCCATCTTGGTGGCTCAAGCCATCCATCAGACCTCTGAACACAGTTTGTTAATGTTCAAACTATTCCTTTATTCTAAACCACAGTGTGTTAAAGGTTAAGATATGAACTATTTCTTACCCCAGAGCACTCCACACAATATGTCCCGTGATCAACACCGAACCATAAATTGTAATTATTTATTCCTGAAAATTGTATGTAATCTGCTTTCCCTAAAGTGGACGCTGACCCCTGTGCTGCATTCCCTTGCGCTCAAGTCATAAGACCTCCCCTTTGCAGTTTTCAGCCTTAAAAACCCTTGTCTCTCCCCTCCTGGGCGAGCACCTTAGCATCTGCGGGGGTGTCTGCCGCTGGGTACCAGCTAAAATAAAGCGCTTCTTTAACTTTTGGACTTGCCTCATTGTCATCTGATTTTTGAGTTACAACACTCACTGCTAGGATTACAGGCATGCGACACCATGCCTGGACTCAATGGTCAGCTCAGTGGGCACGCCCAGGGGCAGGGCCAGTGCAGCATGTGGTGTAGGGGATTGAACCCTGGTCCCTGCACTTGCCTTGAACTAGGTTCTTAGTCCACTGAGCTATCTTGCCAGCCCAGAGCTGATTTAAAATATAAGGAGGATGTGTGTAGGTTACATCAAATTCCATACTACTTTACATCAGTCACCTGAGCCTAGCACTACAGATTTTGGTGTCTTTGGAGGTCCTGGAACTAACTCTCCATGGAAATCAAATGACACAGCATAAAACACACATAGACTATCAGTTTATAACACATATACACAGCATAAAAATATAAAAATACTAAGTACAGAAAGCAGTATTTAAGCAGCATTCTTTTACTCCCTTGGTACTTTCATGGAGCTCCAGCTGGCAGGGAAAGTTTATGTTTGAGAAAAAAATATACAAATTTTAATTTTATGTGCATTTATTCCACATTGTCACGTGTCCTTGGAAGAACTCTTTTCCGACTCCTCTGCATCACATCCTAACTCCCCACAGCAGGAGTGATTTCTCCTGCTGGCCCCTCAACAAGAACAAAGTGGGCATGCTTGGCCCAGCCTCTTTCTTCTGTTTTCTCCCCTTGGATGAGCCTTGTTCTGGAAATAACACAATCTTACTCCCTTCCTGAAGCCAGGGAAGTTTAGGAGAGCAGCTTCTGTCTACCCTGTTAAAAGAAGCCTGTTGTTGACTGGCCATAGGATGAGTGGCTTGTGGGAGTTAGAGCCCTAGAAAATGGGCTGTAGTCTTCAAACCTGCTTTTGCAGGTAATGAAAGGTGTTGAATTCTTTATACAAGAGGTGATGGAACAGTATGGGGTGTGTTTTCTATTATAAAGAAAGAGGCACTAGATTTTCAGTTCTTAGGACACGAAGTCTTGAGCCAGGATTACCTTCCTGGCTTTTTGGGGTTTGTTATTGTTGGGATTTTTTTTTGGGGGGGGGGCAGGTTTGTTAGAGTTGGGGGTTGAACCCAGGGCTTGAACATGCTGCTTAAGTGCTTTACCACTGAGTTACTTCTGCAACCCACTTCCTAACATTTTAAACATGGATTTAAGCTAACCAAGACATTTTGTGTGCAAGGGGCAGCTTCCTCTGGTAAAGCACAAGAGTATAACAGAAAAACAAATCTCTTTGCTCTCTTATTTTGAAATCTCTCTTTTACTAATAGTCTGTGTCAAGAAATACAAGGTTAAATGTCACACTGTGCTCTGTTTGCAGTTGTTTTGCATATGTTGATGGAGACTTAGCAAGACTATGAGTTGTCACAGCCAAGCCAGGGGCATGGGGGCAGCACTGCTCAAGAATACAGGCTAAGCCAGGCATGGTGGCACACACCTGTAATCTCAGCTCTTGGGAAGCTAAGGCAGGAGGATCACTGTGAGTTCCAGGATAACCTGGGTTGCACAGAGTTCAAGGTCAGCCTGAAGTACTTAGTGAGACCGTGTCTCAAAACAGCAACAACAATCTAAGTAAATGACTTTGCAGTCTGCTCTATTTATAGTCAGTTCCTCTTCAAGGTCTTTAACAAGCCTCAATTTTAGATAGCTTTATAGTCTACCTGACAGGTATTACTGGGAAAGGAATTCTTAAGGTCAGGAGAGGCTAGAGTCTCTGGTTCTTCCTTCCCTGATCCATAAGGCAGTTTGGTGCAGTGACACTTCCTGGAAGTCAGAGAAGTGTCTTTATCTTTTTTTTTTTTTTCAAAGTTTTATTGATAAACAGATAGCAATGAGACAGTTTCAAATCAAATCGGAAGTACAGTTTCAACAAATAATACACTGCATATATTCTTCTTAGTGGTTAATTGCTATACAAGATGCAGACTTGTGATCCTATTTACAAACACCATTAGAACAAATCATTCTATTCATTAAGAGTCTTTATCTTTTATTAATGCTATAACAAATTACCAAAATTCTTATAGCTTTCAAAATGCAAATGTAATCTCTTATAATTCTGGAGGTTAGAAACACATAGAAGGATCCATTGGGCTCCAATGAAGGTGTCAGCAGGACTATCTTCCTTCTGCAGGCTCTACAGGAGTCTTTTTCTTTGCCTGTTCCAGCTTCAAAGGGCCACCTGCATCCTAGGCATGTTCCTCTTTCCTCCCCCTTCAGGGCTCCCTCTGAATTTCTGATCTCTGCTTCTGTCTGTGTAACATCTTTTCTTTCTGTCTGTCCATCTTCGAAGGGTCCTATGATCACCTCCCCCTGTCTCGAGATCTTTCATTGGCTCATATCTGCAGTCTCTTTAACTATTAAAGGTAACACACTCACAGGTTCTGGGACCCAGACACAGATATGTTTGAAGGCATTAGTCTACCACACAGATACATCCTAATTTCGTTATCTGTCAACAAATCACAAAGAATGTGTCCCTTCCCCGTTCCCTTTTGCCATACTGATGACATCAAGGGGAAGTCTCAGTTGGCACTACCATGCCTTGGGTACCTTCCTAAAACTTGCAGATCTCCCCCTTTGCCCCAAAGCAGGCCTCCAGCCCTGAGTTTTGAGGCAACAACACACCAGTGTGGCTTCCAATCTTGTTTTCACTGTGTCTGTTCTCAAGCTACCACCTAAAAACTGATGAGGATTTTCCATTTCAAAGGTGTGACAATTTAGATCCTTTCAAATTTGATTTCTACACATGTGATGATTATCTTGAGCTGGCAGTGGAGCTCAGCGATAGAGTGCCTGCTAGCTTGTATGAGACTCTGAATTTAATGCCTAGCACCGAAGTAAAAATTTCTTTTGTTTTTTCTTTTGAACCTTAAACTAAACTAGCTCTTCCCTCTAATTAACTCATTCCTAAGGGCAGAATCACTTTCCCCTTCTATTTTCTCATGCTAGAATCCCAAGTCTTATTCCATTTTGGAGTGCCTGCACTCATTTTGGTGACACATCCTCTTTGCCGTCACATTTGTTCCCTTTAATGTTTTTCTTTTCTAGTCTGACTGCCAAAACCTTACACTTAACCGGGTTCAAGGTTCAATCCCTTTACTGCCTTCCAAACATCTCCGCTTCATTCCAAGTTCACCACCATCTGACCCCACAGAACAAGTTTGTCTTCTTTCTGTAGGTGGACACCTACCTTTCTTTTCCCCAGCCTATGCACTCTTGTCTGTTACCCATTCCTACCAGTAGGGGGCACTCAAGACCCTCTTCCCTACCCTCTAGTTGACCACGCAACAATTGAGCCATGTTGCGTCATGAAATTTTATCAGGAAATCAAAAGTAAATTCTCATTCCTCCTCCTCCTCCTCTTGAGAGCATTCCAAGTCAGCTTCACCTATTTTGAATTCTAACAGAAATAACAGGTACCATTTTTGAGTGGGGACCAAGTACAATTAAGGGAAGGCAATTTTGCTATAGTATCTCAATGACCTTCCCAAACTCTATGTAGTATTCTATTTTGAAGATAAGGACACTGATTCAGAATGACTAAGGACATGTCTAAGATCATATGGTTGGTAACGAGCTCCTACCCAGGTCTGGGTACTTGCAACACTTTCACAAAGCTCTGGTATGAATTCAGCTGGTGGGTGGAGTCCACATCTATCTTCTTTGCATCTTTCATATTGCCTCAGTTTTTTCATCTTCAAACAATAATACAATCTTGTTTTAGTTTCCTAGGACTATCATTTAAAAGTAATGCAAACAAGGCAATTTAGGACAGTTTAAATAGATTCTCTCTTAGGTCTAGAGGTCAGAAGTCAAAAATCAAAGTATTAGAAGGACCTTGCTTCTTGTAAAAATCCCAGGGAAGGATTCTTCTTTACCTCCTCCTACTATCTGGAACTTTCAGACATTTTTTGACTTGTAGATGTGTTACTCAAATCTGTGTCTGTCTTCAGATGGCCTTCTGTGTATCTCTCCTCTTTATAAAATAACATAAGTCACTGGGTTTAGGGCCCAACCTACTACAGTATGACTTCATTATGTCTTCAAACACTTTATTTCCAAATAAGGTCACCTTTACATCAGGCTTTAGGTTGACATGAATTTAAAGAGGACATTTTTCAACCCTGTGCATAGTCTTGAAGATTGTAGTGAAAGTTCAGTAGGACCCCATGTTATAGGACACACATCCCAGTGCAAGTAACTCAGCAAAGATCCCTCCCCTTGTCTCCTCACACCCATGACAGTAAGCTGGGATGTTGACTTGTTTTTCACTGGAATCATCTTCTTTGCATCTTTGTAGGCAATCTCATGTAGAGATCTCATGCAATCTCTTTGCATCTCATGTAGGCAAGTATTTCTCCACCCTAGAGTAGTCCACCTGTGGCATTTTAAAGATTAATGCAGAGGTCTCACTCAAGTCTTAGTCAGAAACTTCAGTGTGAAAGCCTGGGAATGGATATGCTTTAAAATGTTTCCAAGTGATTCTGACACATAGGCACATCAAGAACAACTAATTGAGACTGTTATAGTCTGAGTCTCAAGAAGGACAACCTGGGGGCCGGGGAGATGGCTCAGTGGAATAAGTGCTTCCCTGGCAACCACAAGGGCCTGAGTTCAATCCCCAG